AGCCACATTTGTCTCATAAGTCAACTCCTTGTCGATCTGCGAAACCCAAGATTTCAGAATAGCGTTTTCACAGTTAGCCTCACTCACGTCATTCTCCAGTTTGTCGATGACCAGTCTGGATGCGAGATCGGAGTTGGGAATGCCTGCCGAATAGGGAAGTGTGTCAGGACTGATCCTAGCCATAGATGTTTCAGAATCCTTGAGACTTTTTCTCAGTTCATCTAAGTGACGTTTCATGTCAACAATCTCAGAATTCTTGATGCCAATCTTTTCATCCCTATCCTGGATTTCCCCCATGAACATGCATGATCTCTCATATTGTTGAACACCACTCGCCAATTTCAATTTTCGCTCACTCTCTAGTTCAGATCTTAGAGTTCGGACCTCAGCATTGGTGAGGGACGACGCCCCTACATCCGCAACTTCAGTCAACCTTTCTTTTAACAACAAGTTCTCTTGTAAACATTCATGAACTTCATGATCTAGATCCTGAACCCTGATTTGAGCGATCTTAGCTTGATTACGTAGATCTTCAACAAGCATCTCTTCGGGGCCACGACCGTCGGTCGTAGAACCCTGAGTCAACGATCTTCGTATCTTCGTGTTCTGCAACTTGATCTCATCCTTCAATTCGCAGTTCATCTTCTGCTCGTTGGCATAGAGCTCCTCATAGTGCTCTGCCCTTGCGATCGAGTTTGCACTAGCCTGTGATTCAAGCCTCAGGTGAGATATTGCTTCGGCCTCTTGGTTCCTGTATGATGCAATTCTTCTGACGGTATCATGTTCAGTGTTTCGATGCTTCAGATCACTTTCCAATTTGGCCTGATTTGCCTCGAACACCTTCTTCCTAGATTCTCTAGTGATCTCATCAATACTGCTCTCATACAGCTCGGCCTGTTTACGAGACTGAACCAAAGCTTCACTCAATAGCTGATTTCGCTCAGATAATTCATGAACTGCAATTGGTTGTTGTTGGCTAATCACTTCAAGTTGATTACTAGAGAAGGATGCCATTTCAGATCGATTACGATATTCCATGATTGAGTTCTGGAAATCATTTTGCATTTCTTGACCCTCATTGTATGGTCGATTGGCAATATCGGTGGTTAAGACATTGGTTTGATGAAGTTGTTGTAGTCTTGCCTCCGTATTACCCAGTAGTCCTTGAAGGTGATGTACTTCATCCTTGTACTCCTCCTGGATCTCCATACCACGTTGATGGATCCGTCGTGCACCATGTTCCATTAGGGCACCTCGGCGTTCAAGGTCTTGGATGCGTATTGTTGCACCTTCGTCTTCCTGAGATGCTACCATTAGTTCTGCTTGATATTCTGCAACCTCATTTGCGGAACATGACAATCTATGATTGAGTGCATTGACCTCATCAAATACATTCTGATTGTGTTCCCGAAGATACTCAGTGAATCTGATCTCGATGTCATGAATCAGTTGATCCCTGGATGCAGCGTATGCTTCCATGTTGTTCAGCTGATTACGTAGGGATTGACATTGTGCCCGTAGTTCCTCTATCATGGCAATAGGTTCACTAGCCACAGAAGTATCCGTTGATCTCCTCTTAACACGACTATCCCCGGTCCTCTCACCAATTCGGTCGGTCACGGCCCTGGTGGATCTGTCCCTTGGAGTAGTACGTCCTCGAGATGGTCGATGCCCTTGGCGGACAACATCACTCCGAGCACTGTTTCGAGAAGATCTAGGTGTACTTTGGGTGGATATTCTTCGTCTGTTTGATGTGACTTGCCATCCGGACTGTGTAGTTCGGGTAGAGCGTATCCCGCCACTGTCTGCCGTGTCGCCAGGGGAAGATTGATTGACCTCCTCGACCGGCATAGCAGCGTTCTCATTGAAGGTAAACTGCGTGGTGCGCGAATCTCCGCTGCCGCCTTGCATCTTTGCGATGATGAGCTGATTGGTCCTTTGCGTCCTCAATCAATTGCTCAGACGGCCCGGCTACCAGCACGCAGGTACCACTCTCCCGGCGGGAGAAGTGAGCCCTACGGCTGATAACCTGTGAACAAATTGATCCTTGTTCTGGATATCCTTCGGTTGTAGTTCCCTATGTGCTGATAGTCAGAGCTGTCAAACCATGCAGCAGCGGAGCGCGTTATTTTGGCCTCGCAGTGGGTCTTGAGCCAAAGTGGCGTCCCATGCAAGAATGTGCACATGCTCAGCATGTGTGACTACTGTGTTATCTCGTTCCCCTTCGCGCTAACTAATACACTGCATATAAGTCATTCTCCTAGCATTCAGGTGTTGTCTCATTACATTTAGGTGTTAAGTTCGGTTTGACTCAGCAGCAAAGCAACTGCATGCACTTTTTCCCTTGAATTTTGCAACACAGTCGTGCTTTGGATTTTGCATTCTACCGTTTGAAAGGCTGAACAAAGTTGCACGATGTAAATGTAATTTTCGATCAAACTGATGTTTTTGTAGGTTATATTGCATTAGTACTGTGCGTTTGCGCTACGATTCGAATACTTGGATGGTGCTGGCTTGTTTGCAATGGGTACTGCCAGCCTCAAACCACAACACTTGCGAACAATGACGCTTATCACACAACATAAACCGATAGAAAGATCAACTGACATGGTTTCATGGCCAAAAAATCTCAAATTCAAGCTTGACTGAACGGTCTTTACATGGAAGACCTGTATGAGCAGCGCATGACTTCAAAGCATGTTCATGCACGGCGGCGTCCCGGCGTCCCGGCACCCGTGATGATAAAATGCAACCCAATCTTGCACCACCCTTGCTGCAGCGAACAATTTGGCGCAGTCGTATCAGTAAATCAAAATCAGACTTAGTAGCACATAATTCGGGTTCCTGGGGGGTCCGTTTGCTTCATGATGTTCTTGCTTTGTTTTTCCGGTGAAGATGCAAAACCTTTGGATTGGTGGTTTTTCTGCCATTCAAACTGTGGCTATTTCGTGGACCGATTTGCAAAATCGTTTACTTTGAACAGGGTGTTTGTTGGGAAAGCGACCAATGTGTATCCCAAGATATGATTTTGCCAAAGTATTGTTTTGCCACAATATCATTCTGCCAAAGTATGATTTTGCCAAAATATCATTTTGTGAAAGTCTTGTTTTGCCACAATATCATTTTTCCAAAATATAATTTTGCCAAAGTATTGTTTTTGCCAAAATATGGTGATGCCAAACGTTTATCGCACATTTCCTGGGGCAGATGCCTGCATTGATTGATATATTGAAATTATTGGTATCCCTTCGCATCTCAGGATCATCCTTTGTGGGTTCCACCAAGTCACTTCTCAAGGACGGTGGTTCCACCGGAACCATCACCCCTGTAAGTGGGCTAAGCGTCAGCTTGAGTCAGTGGATCTCGAAAAAGACACCAAAAACTCAAGAAAGAGCTAGAAAAGGACGATGGTTCCAGTGGAACCATCACCCCAGGCTAAGATTGATATTTGGAAAATGTTCGGGTAGCTAGTAGTAGCTATCACAGGGGACGACGGTCCCAGTGGGACCATCACCCCTGGAGATTGTGCAAAATGGTGTGGGGACGACCCAGATTGTTATTTTGCGAACTTTTCGGCTCATCATTTTGCAAGCATGATATTTTGGCAAAATCATATTTGGGCAAAATGATATTGCGGCAAAACAAGACTTTCGCAAAATGATATTTTGGCAAAATCATACTTTGGCAAAATCATATCTTGGGATACACATTGGTCGCTTTCCCAACAAACACCCTGTTCAAAGTAAACGATTTTGCAAATCGGTTCACGAAATAGCCACGGTTTGAATGGCAGAAGAACCACCAATCCAAAGGTTTTGCATCTTCACCGGAAAAACAAAGCAAGAACATCATGAAGCAAACGGACCCCCCAGGAACCCGAACTATGTGCTACTAAGTCTGATTTTGATTTACTGATACGACTGCGCCAAATTGTTCGCTGCGGCAAGGGTGGTGCAAGATTGGGTTGCATTTTATCATCACGGGTGCCGGGACGCCGGGACGCCGCCGTGCATGAACATGCTTTGAAGTCATGCGCTGCTCATACAGGTCTTCCATGTAAAGACCGTTCAGTCAAGCTTGAATTTGAGATTTTTTGGCCATGAAACCATGTCAGTTGATCTTTCTATCGGTTTATGTTGTGTGATAAGCGTCATTGTTCGCAAGTGTTGTGGTTTGAGGCTGGCAGTACCACTGCCAAACAAGCACAATTATCCCAATTGTTGCACAGACACACAGTACCAACCGGAAAAAAATGGTGGCATCTATTTGATTGATCGTTTTCATTTTACATAGCTCTCCTGTGTTTAACCTCAAACAGTAGGAGCGCAAAATCCAAAACATGATTGCGTGCAGTTGCCCTGCTGCAGACATAACACCTGAAAGCAACGAGACAACACCTGAATGCTAGGAAAATGACTTTTGTGCAAACACACAGCATTAGGGTGGGGGTTCATCTCTGCATTGGACTGTGAAAGGTTGAATCACAGCATATCCTGCAACATGCTAACTCTAGCTTACTCTAGCTTACTTTACCTCATCAACCCCAGGCTCTAGTATGCTCTAACCAGCTGAGCATCGTATCATTGCCGCGGCTTCTACCGTCTTTCTCGGAAATGTCTCCTGCACGCACTGGCTGGTGCTATCGCTGTCATTGCACTGGTCAGGTTTGCAACTGCCTTTGTTCCTTGACATTCCTTGATTGAATGAACAGACTACATCGCTTCACCCAGTGATCTTGTTTGATAAAATTAAAAATTGCAAACAGCTTGAAACTATGCATGTGATGACCGCCCTGTGTAAGTCTATATATATATATTTATTGATTAAAAATATATTAAAATATACTGTATATATATGGTTTCTTCATGTTTACTATAAACATATTGAAGCGCATTGAAACATACTGAAAAACAACAATGCGTTTGCAATGAAACAGGTCGACCGTGGGTCGTCCGAATATTTCCGAGTCGTCCGAGTCGTCCACAATTCTCCTCAGACGCCTCTGCCACTTCTGCTTCAAGACCTGCGGTCCGGACTCGGACCGAGTCGGGTCTGAGACCGAGTTTGGACAAGTCAGGCACCTGTCGCCACTTGCGCTTTGTTGGATAAGTGTGCGCTTTGTTGGATAAGTGTTGGATATGTTTGATGCAAGCTACTGTAAAATATGTATCTGTTCTGGATAGCATGGTATAACACGATAAATTTATATATCAATCTAAGATTCGAAGTGGTTCTGATGAGAGCTGAGCATCACGGAAGGAAAGCAAGGCGAGGTAGAGTCCGATGGGGCTTTGCCAAAGTGACAAAGCGCCCCACCATATGCCACTGTTGATCTATAAAATAAAGAGGCTGTTGCAACGCAGGGGTTGCACAGTCACCTGTACCTCTTGTACTACTGCAGAGTGTCGTGCTACAATTCGCATGCCATAGCCTGCTTCAATGAGTTCTTGGCGAAACTTGTTGTAGATGTCCACATTCTTCTGGGGTATGTGGAGACGCTTTTGCAGCTCATCAATGCAGTCCCGAAGGTCTCAGATGGAAGCAATTCACTGCCAGGCTTTTGCTACAAGGACTGGCCAGTATTAAGTATACCTGATTTTCTTATACTCTATGTACTCCATAATATACTCCATAATACTCCATATGAGTTTCATGACTAGAGAGATCAGAACAAGCCAGTACGGGTCGATTGGCAGCATTGCAATCCGAGAGTCATCCATGAAAGTGTTTCACTTTCACCCCAGGCTCTTTGAATGCTTGCGTTCCTTCCCTTTTTGGTCTCCTTTGCGACACGACCAACAGCCACGACACGGACAACGGCAACAATATCAACAATAGGGACCGGAACGACGACGACAACGACAACAGCCAACCGCTAACGAAGCACAAGAACAACAGCTGTTTACTCTCCAAATCTCTCCGATCAGCACGCAGCGCGCCTTCCCTTGGTTCCCTTCACCAGTTTTGTTACGACTGGTTCCCCTCGTGGGGTATTCGACGACTCTCGCGTGGCGGTGTAGTCGGCTGTGGGTTTCTTTTCTTTTCCGCCAACAACCTGAAGCTCAAAACGCTATGCCATATGCTGAAACACTTCGTATCGAGCGGGAACAGCACTTCTAACATCTTCCAACAACACTGGCAATCATTCATTCACCAACGCAGGTCTGAAGTTCTGCTGGTGTCATCAATACATATCAATATTATCCCAATGAAACATAATGAAACGGTGCATGAGAACAAAATCCTGCAAAGTCCACTTCTTCCTACTGACAATGTTGCTGTTCATGATCCTTTCTAAGCACCATTTAACTGCCAGCGATGCCCCACAACGCTTGCACATAGTCGAATAACTCAAGCACGTTTAGATTTGCCATGCAATCCAAGCAGCTTCTCGAAGTTTGCTGTTTTCCAAATCAGGCGTCTTGAAATACCAGGGCGGCCGACCCCCTTCAAGAAATTCAGAGGTCAAACCGAGCTTCCACATGGGCTCAGAATCATCTGAATCATAGAGGATGTACTGGTCAGATCGACAGAGGTTCTGATACAGCAACCTCTGAAAAATGGCGCGCGCGCGCGCACAACGTCTCGGCATGTGCTCTGTTCTGTAACCAATGCATTGCACAAGAGAAATGACTGCCCGGCCATGCCCGGTTCTTGATGTGGCCTTGCATGATGTGTGTTTGTTTTTTTGTTTCTTTGTTTATATTTTTCTTGCCTTTGGTTTCCGCGATGGCATATGGCTTTGACATCGCATTTCAGTGACGGTCATTTGTTCCAGCCTCTTGTCGCCGGCATCATCACACCTCGCGTCAATGGCATGTGTGCCAAATCAGCACACGCTTGCAGTGCAAGTGACTTGCCAAGCCGCAAAGCATGCAGATCGCTTCAACTGATGACTGATGAATTGCAAGCAAGATTTACTCCCACATGGGATCTAGGCATGACCTGTTTAAGTTTAAACTAGTTTAAACAATACTTTGCTGCACCTTGCAGCGTGTCCAGGTAGACAAAAAAAATCTGGCCCTTGCCTAACGTAGACGCCATCTAGGGGATGTTCCACGCCCGCCTGAGGCAGCAATCATGCGGAATTCAGAAAAATTAAGTCAATGACACTCAGTGGCAGCCTCTTCCAGGTCATCTCTATGCATCTACCATCCAGCTTTACTCATTAGACGCGGCTACCACAAGAAGCTGTGCACCTACATCTATATGTAAATGCACTCCTGCGTCCATCTTTATGTTCCTCTATCTTGCAAATGCGTCCATCAAACCATCTCCGACACACTTGCGATATCTATACCTTCAAAAATTATTTGTCTGTACCATTCTGTATCTGCCATTTCTTGGTCTTCTGCCATCAATGCCAAATCCATATCTACAGAATCTACATCTCCATTGCGTAAATCTACATCCAGGGTCATCCAGGTCCAATCCATTGTACATTCTAGATCATGCTCATACTGACTCATACTTCCAATGTTTTTTAATGTCTTTTCATAT